TCTTCCATTCCATCTTTGGTAACAGTCTGTCTGGGCATTTTGGAGACATATGGTCTTCGTTGCCACATACATAACATGCTGCCTTCTTTCCATCCTTTGGTTTCCCCTTTCCTTTTCCTTTGCCTTTGCCTTTGCCTTTGCCTTTATTAGGTTGGTCGTTTCCTTGGCAGAGGTTCACTCCCGGAGTTTTACTCACTTCCATGTGAATTTTCAACATATCCTGCGCTTTGCTGACCGTCTTTGGATAATAATCCACTTCTCTGCAATAGCTCGTCTGAAGATCCAGCATCAGAGGAGCTGTCTCGTTCGATCGCTGTTGCATAGAAATCCTGTTGCCAGAACGGCTTCAAAGATATCATCCTTGAACTTGTTGTGAGCAGCAGTATCGGTGCTAGCAATAGCAGCATACGCTTTCGTCTTGACTGCAAAATCTCGGAACCAGGCCACGCCATATAGATCTTGAAGGTTTTCGGCCTGTCTCAAGAATCGTTCCGTGAAATGCATCAAGTTTTCCGTTGTTCCTTGCTTCATAGCAAAGAACTTTTGATTCCCTTCCCAGAAATCCAAGAAGTCATACTCAGCATCAGCACTCTTCTTCATGAATCGTTCGATACGTTTCAAGAGTTCGATCGGATCTTCAAGAGTAGTCGTGAAATTGGCTTCACCTCGAAGCTTGATATCCATCGCCTTCGTCACAAACTTCAACATGATGTTTGATTTGACGGTTCTCTTGTTTGTCTCGAAGTATGCTGATCTTCGCATGTTCTTGTCGAGCTTTGCAGAATATAGAATCTTGCTTTGGGCCATCTCTGTTTCTCTTGCAACAGCTTCAGTTTGAGTTGGAGCGTTCAATCTTGGAGCGATCGCATTGAAGTCGATCGACTTTCCATCTCGAATTGATTTCACCATGTCTTCCGAACATTTCATTCCAGAAGCTTGGATGTAGTCAATCACTCTTTCCTCGGCATCTTCGTACGACGATCTTGCCTTTTCATCGTTTTCATCTTTCGTTGAAAATAGATGTTTCACAACTGTTGAACTCGAGTTGCTCTTGACTTTCTGAGTAGTCATACGTCCTCTTCCACCACCGGATGAAGAACGTCCCATCGTCAACGAATCACTCACTCCTTTGTAGATAAGGCAGTGCTGTTCTTGACGTAAATTTGTTTTGTTGCCTTTTGTGATTGAATGTTAGAATGAAGCAAAATGTGCTCTATCGTGAGTGCCTTTAGCGCTCAGAACAAACTCTCTGCAATCTAAATTTGTAATCGACTGTACAACACTTTCACGACAATAGTTCTCCTGTGTCTAGGTATACTTTGAGTGAAATTGTTCCTATTTGATTAATGTTTGGCTTGAATTGATGATTCAATCACAAAAGTAAGTTCAACAATTTTCCCTTGGAAAATCCCTTGTTTACAGAACTTGATTCGACCTCTACGACGATTCTGTGTTGGATACAGTACTTTGGGACATATTGTATTATTCCCTACTGCATTGTACACAACATCGATATCTCACTTGTATAGGGTCATTCCCTTTTTGTGTGGATGTAGTTTGTCCGACAGACTTGCGTCCGGCATACTTGCGGCGAATCCCGACATCACGATCAAAGTACGATCGTACGTGTCGAAAACTTTGTACTTGAATAGTTTCCTTTTGGAACGTAAAAACTCATATTTCGTCATATCCCAACAGTTAGAATGGAACGCACGGCCTATTGTCTCGCTCTGGCGCCCCAACGCCGTCTCCTTCACCGCTTCTTCCACCCGGCCCAGGCCCCCTAATCCCGTTTCAAGGAACCAACGCCCCGAAATCACCCCGCCTTGTCGCGGGTAGAGTTGGGATCCCCTCGATCCTGACTAGAGCAACTTCTGTCCACTAGATGTCTCCAATGGTTCAAACTAGTTGTTGACTCGTCGCTTCACGGTACTTGACCTTTACAGCCGCTTATCCCACCGGCAATTGTATGCGCTAGATAGCATTTAATCGATGGACCCCCCTTAGGCCGAAAAGTTCGGGCGATTCGGATTTTTCGTGAAAAAAGTCACGATCGGAAACGAAACACACCGAAACATAATGACAATGGCTCCACTTTACGGCATTATTTGTACTAGTGATGGGTATTAACGATCAAAATAACATCCTGTGGAAGTCTTCCAAGGTAGAATTCCTTTCTATTATCTATTTATTGGAGCAACATCACCGCCTCCGTCGATACAACAATCATACCACAAGGATCCGTCCAAGAATCTCAATTGATATATCTCTGCTCGGATATCTCTTTTTGAGCAAATCAATCTTGTGTCCAGCTAGAACAGTCTTCATTATTGCAACATTCTTTGCAGAGAGAGGCGTGGATGTGATCCTGGATGCGGACGGTCCAGTTCGCCATCATTCGAAAAGAGCCCATCAAGATCGTGTTGCAAAAAGACATCGCGTCCGAATTCAACTTATGGAGAACCGGGCAACTCTAGCAAATCTGATCAACCATCCCAATCCAAACAATGCAGTTCTAGCGCAAAAGGGGAAATTGATAAAACAGATTCGCGGAAAGGAAAATCAGCAGCAGAGAGGTCTTCCTCCGGACTTCATTGACAAAATTGATTATTTGGTGAAGTCTTTTGCAAGCACGAATGGAAGCAGCATAGTGCTTCAAAAGTCTTTATGGCAAGCCGATCCAGCCATCGCAAAGCGTGCTATTAATGGTGATGTTGATGCAATCTTGTCGGGTGACTCTGATTTTGCAATGTACGTGGGTGGAGGTGGACCTGATGGATGTGGCGACATCATGCTACGGAATCCAACATTGGGCAAGCGCAACACACATCTGGAAAGCCTTCAGATATGGACCGGGCAGAAGAACGTTGTGAATTATATCAATGAGATTCTAAAACCGAAAGTGCGACAGTCCATCTTTCAAAAGGATCCACAGCATCCCATCTTTGATGGCTTGGATCAAATTCGTTTTCGTGCTCTTTTCGCGCTTGCCCTTGGTTGCGATGCATTGCCTGGAGGTATTGATGGTTTTGGAGCAAAGAAAGCAAGCATAATCAGATCAAAAATTGATTTCAGCGCGGACCCAGCAGTTGCCAAGGAAGAGTTACTGAAACATCTAGTGGCTGCTTCATTGATTTCAAAACCCAAGATTTACAGGCATGTTCCAGCAGGACTCACACGAGAAGACTTCATCTGCCTGTCAGACAGTCTCATCTACGAGCCAACACATAGTGGATACTTGACCGGCCACAAGCCAGCAGCATTAGAAAAATACAATATTGACTTTGCAGAGGAGGGTGCTGGTGTCGCATGCCGGAGCAATGGAGCAGCATCTGAGACTTGTAAGGGGTGCTTCTCTTACGGTCATCATGCTTTTCTAAAAGCCGAAGGCGCACACCAGTGCAACTTTTGCAAACACCCAGTCTGCCGTTCTTGCCTTTGGGATCCGTCATTGCGAAACAAGAATGCCAATAGGAGCCAGCTTGTTTGTTTGCCTTGCAAAGTTGAATCATTTCTTGGGGTTGATGAGGTGACAGAAAGGGACATGCGGCAGTTTCTATCTGAGCACCATGTCTATTGTCCGGCAAATGCAAAGTATGAAGCTGTTTTGGATTTGTATCATAGGCACAACTCAGGTGATGACGATTTATTTTCAGAGGCCATCAACAAAGTACAATATCCCTTGTTGCCGTCATCTGCACTCCACTCTTCCAAACTCTTTCAACCTGATGGCAAGATACATCCAATCACTGATGACATTGAATTGATACTGCCAAATTCATCTTTGGTTATTTTCAAGGCGATCCTTGCTTAGTTGTTCTGGACCACAAAGTGAAAGCTTCTATGCGGAAGACTGAATACTCTGTTGAATGCGCTTTCACTGCAGAACATCTTGTTGCCAGTACATGCGAATGTAAAGCTGGGTGCAAGAACAAATGCTTGAACAATTTGGGAACGGAACGAGTACTTTGCACCCATGGGCTTGTTCCACTTGTTCAACTATCGCAGTTGCTGTTTACTTTCTTGGCTGAGGACCTGCTGTATGAACTGCGAATCCGTTTGGTTACAGATGACGATGGTTTCTCTCAATTGGACCTGGAAAGTGGAGAGCGGGAAAGTTTCAGAGTGGCAAAAGCACCACTTGTAGATTGACGGATGGATCAACAAAATGTATCAGGGTTAAAGGTTTTATGGCACCAATTGGTACTGGGGGAAAAGGATTTCGCACCCCAACTAAAACTCTAAGCAAAGGTGTGAGTTCTGACAGACTACTGTTTCGGCAGATCCACGAAACAAAAACATGTAGCGAATTTGCATTGGCTATGCAGCAGCGCCACGAAGTGGAGGATGTTGTGCTGGGGAATCAGTCATGGGATGACATTAACAAGCGATTGATTGCAGCAGCAGGACTTGATGTACACTGTGGGAACACTGGCACACCAAAAAGAAAGAAATTGGCAGAGGCACTGGCAAGAAAGAAATTGGCGGAGGCTGAGGATGTTGCGAGCAAGAGGAAAGAAGAGGAGACCAAGCCAAGTGTCATACCCGATGATTTGACTCCAAACGAAGTAAAGCGCCGTACAGGATTTGACAATTTACCGAAGCTGCTTGCCTATGCCATGGTGGTTTGTGATGGTAGTTTGGATTGTCTCTTTGCAACATCGTCCAAACTCACTTGGGTTGAAGAGTGGTTGTTCTATTTCGAGTTCAAGTATGGTCGGACTGCTGTAAGAATGCAAGACTTTGAGAAAGCATACAGGAGCTCAGAATACCCCCTTCGAAAAGTACTGAAGCAAAAGTTTTCTCTTGAGAATGGAACACGCAATCGGTGGCCTATGTATGCTACCTACAAAGAAGACGCAAAGTTTCGTGGCGAACAATGGGATTTCTACTTTGATCGGCGAAGTGGGGAGAGAATTGTTATGCATGATGCAACCGGAATTCCTCTGCCATGTCCTTCAAATGCAGAGCTTCAACGAGCACTTTTCAGTGACTACTATGGTACTACATGCGCAAAGGCAGGAGTCAGCAACCAACTTTGTGGTTGGATGCGAGGAATGCCTTTAATGACTGGTAGAATCACAGATTCTCAGATGATCAAAGACTCAGACGTACTGGTGGCACAACGGAAGTTTTCAGAGGCAGATCATTCTTCAGACAAACCATTCAACAATGTACTTGACAAAGGATTCCGAAACACCCTTGATGCAAGCATGGAAGGCCAACGTTGCATGCAACCAAAGTACTCAAAAGGTGATATCCAATTTACGGGAAAGGCAACTTTGCACTCTGCTATTATTGCTGTGATACGATCTGGAAATGAGCGTGCTGTTCAACGTTGTAAAATGTCATGGTTCTTGAAACGTGGGTGTGCATACCAACTGTGGGATACTCATCTATTATGTGACATTTGGGACACTTGGACGTTTCAAGTGAACTTCATGTATGATAAGTTCCTCTAGATATTTGTTATAATTACTGGATCTTCCTTCTTGTATTGATTCATAGTCCAATAATAGGCTGAATGGGGGTACGACAATTGTTCAATTTCTACTAAATACAATTGTTTTCGATTGGAAAGTCCGTACTTCGTCCGTGTTTGCCCGAACTTTGTTGGCCTAAGGGGGGTCCATTAATGTTTCAGTTATTATTATCACCACGCTATTCTGATTGCTTGTTGCATGATGCAGATCAAGGCCAAATTCGATACTGACGAAGGTCTGAACTTCATTCAACTGTATTACATCAATCAAGGACTGAAGAAGTTTGGTGATGATGGAAAGGATGCTGTGGATAAGGAATTGAGACAAATGCTCCTGGGAGATTGTTTCACTCCCAAATTTGTGAAAGACATGACCGCATCTGAGCGAAAGAAGGCCCAATCAGCGATGATGTTACTCGCGGATACCGAGGCGATGGAACTCGTGAATGGTTATCGCAAGAGGACCCTGCAAGCCCGACTGCTTTGCAAGAAGGAATCACCACTACTTGTGTTATTGATGCACACAAAGGTAGAGATATAATGACGATGGACATGCCTATCGCTTTCATTCAAACTTATATGCCCAAAGCTAAGGAAGGAGAAGATCGTGTCTACATGAAAATCACTGGCATGATGGTCCAGATATTGATTGACATGGCCCCAGAGTATCGCAAATATGTTGTATTAGAGAACGGAAAGCGAGTAATCTATGTGCGGGTACTACGTGCTATATATGGGATGTTGCAATCAATCCTCCTATTCTATAATCAGTTTCAAAGTGATTTGGAGGCAAAGGGATTTGTTTTCAATCCATATGACCTGTGCGTTGCTAACAAAGTTGACAATGAAAAACAGCAAACGATCAGATTTCATGTTGACGATCTTATGTCAAGTCATATGGATCCGAAAGCAAAATGTAAGTGGTTGAACATGAGGTATGGTTCAATCAAGGCATGTACAATCATCAGAGGAAAGATACACAGATACCTTGGAATGGCTTTGGATTTCTTGGTGAAAGGAAAAGTCAAAATCCGCATGGATGACTATGTTAAGAACATGTTGGAAGATTTTCCTATCAAGTTCAACAAGGATTCAAAGCAGGAAACACCAGCTGGTAATGATTTACTGGAAGCTGGTAAAGGGAAGTTACTCAGTGCTGAGTACCGCCAGATCTTTCATACTACTGTTACAAGGGGACTTAATGTCTCTAAAAGAGCTCGTTTGGATATCCATCACACGATTACCATTCTTGCCTCAAGAGTTCGAGAACCTACAGAGTCTGATTGGAAGAAGTGTGTTTGCATGATGCGATATTTGTTTTGTACATCGTTGTATCACCTGACACTTTCCACAGAATCACTACGAGTCATGAAATGGATGATCAACGCATCATTTGCGGTGCATTTAGATTTCAAGAGCCGCACTGGCGGCACTCTGTCCTTTGGAGGAGGTGCAGCTCAAGTGATGTTGAAGAAACAAAAGCCAAACAGCAGAAGCAGTACGGAAGCGGAACTGATTGCTGGTGACGATGTTGTCACGATGATACTATGGACAAAGTTGTTCATGGAGTGGCAAGGGTATCCGATCAAGAAGAATATCTTATATCAGGATAGCAAAAGCGCAATTCTACTGGAAGAGAATGGTTGCAAGAGCACGGGCAAAAGAAGCCAAGCTATCAATATTCGTTATTTCTTTATCACAGATCAAGTTGAGAAAGGAAATGTTAAGATCGAATACTGTCCAACTGACAATATGATTGCGGATTTCATGACTAAGCCATTGCAAGGTGAGAAGTTTTGCAAGTTCAGGGATCTGATTCTTGGTCCACAGGAATAGGTCAGACAAGTATTAGGTAGGTTAGGAGTCACCCAAACCGTCTGGCCTTTCCCAGTCAATCTGTGACATGGGCAGACCGCGTTCGCGGTTTCGCAGGTGGGATTGCCAGACCAGAGTCGCTTGGTCCCGCGCATAAGAAAAAACTAGTAAATAGGTAAATCGAAGTAGCCACTGGATTGTATGAGCTGCAATGCTCATTCAATCCAGGTAACAACAAATAGATACTGGAATTAACATTCAAATAAAAGTCCTTTTATCTTTTTTAGACTAGAGGCATAGGCCTGTCTGTGTATTATAGCCCTCTCAGTAGGAGAGCTATACAGCCAGAAATTGGCCTCCAACAGTCAGAACCAGCTTGTCACATTTTTGAGGACCAGCCTGGCTGTTTTAGCCAACAATGGGCAAAGCAAAAGCCTTGCACAAAAACTCAAATTTCCCAAACCTTTACTGGATGTTTGCAATCCAGAAAGGCCGGTACAAAACCCACGTACAGAACTCCCGCAGGATTCAGTATGGGATTTTTGTGGCACTCAGGAACACCCAACAGAACAAGGGTTTTTGTAATTGTTGGAAAACAGAAAGACCCTCAAAAGTCATTTGTGATCGCGTGGAGGAAAAAGAGCAACTCATACTTAAATAACAAACAAAAACATGAAAAAATCTGATTGGCTAAGGCAAAAGCGAGGAGAAGCCACCAAAAGTGAGGACTTTGGTCGCTTCTCCTCAATTTACTCAAAGTTCTCAATTCCCTCAAAGTCCTCATTTTACCCAAAGAAGCGACCAAAAAGCGGTTTTTACTCATATGTGTCAAAAGTTTGTTAAATGAACTCAAATTTTGGGGGATGATATTCACAATTGCATGATTTTCGATTTGGCGAAACATGTTAGAAGTAAGCGATCCACTGCCGCCTGCAATTTACCTGTTCAATTGACTGCGATTTAGCTGTCCAGGTATTGTTGCCTTCTAAGTATATGAATTTACAGTATATAGAATATATAGATCTATCAGAGATCCTACTTTATCAACCAATTCACTCGTTGCTTGCAATATATTATAAAAAGTGAGAACAGTCTGTCAACTTGTGACTTTGACTCTTTCATCTCCAGCTCAGTGGAAATTCTCAGAATTCTCTCTACATCAGCCTGACATGCTGCAAGTTCGATCTGTTTATCCGTTCATCTTCCACAGTAGTTGGTACTTTGATTAATATCCAACTTTGGTTCTTGCTTGAATCTTGCTTTCTTACATCATCAACATGATGATTTCCACAGAAATAAATTGTCTTTTCTGACTCGCCACGCGCAACATTTTTAGTCGTATCAGTCTTCATTTTTAGTCGTATCAGTCGACATCATTTCTCTATCGTTCACAAGTATTCTCTTTTTCTCGTTTCTCCAAATATGTACTTCAAAAATCCTAATATATCCAACACACTCCTGCCGTTTCATTAACATAGTTGATGACAACGGAACATCAAAGGAAATTGCGTTGCTCCTAATCTTGTTCTCCTTGAATCAATGATCTGAAATCCAAGAACTTTTGTCCCTGTAGAGGTTTGCTCATGAAATCTCCCCACATCTTTTCAGTTGGACAATATTCAATAGTCACATTTCCTTTCTTGACTTGATCAGTCATAAAGAAATATTGAATGTTCAAAGCTCGGCTTCGCTTTCTGGCACTATCACGTCCATTCTTTTCCAATAGAATAGAACTCTTGTTATCCTGGTATAGGATGTTCTCTTCAACAGGATGACCTTGTGCCTCCACAAACAATTTTGTCCACAATATCTGTGTCGCAGCATCATTGACACCAATCAATTTGGCTTCTTTCAAACTTTGACTGACCAACTTCTACTTCTTCGAGATTATTTGCAATCCTCCCTCACCCATAGTCAATACACCTCCAGTGTGACTTCTGAAATCTGGATGAACAGCAAATGATGCATCAATATACCATTTGAAAGTTCGTAAATCTTTTGCACTCAGCGTCAGATGCATTCCCTTTGTTCCATTCAGATAATACATCAGCTTCACTAGCTTCTTCCAATCAGTTTCATTTGGTTTCTGTACTCTTGTAGAAAGTTCAGAATCCTTTTCCTTGAATTTTCCTTCATTGAAATTATTTCATCCAAATAACCTTTCAATTTCTTGACTTTTTCCTTTTTTCTCATTGCACTCCTGTTCTTTAACAAATTGCACTTTGGTTCTTTTGATTCAGGTATTGTTGATTATACCTTGGTCGATCCCAATTATTACGTTTGGTTGGTCTCATTTTCATTCCATCTTGAACATAAGATTTACCACTCCTGGTTTTCCTTGGACTGAATATGTCCTCTTTATTCACTTCATCATTTTCATAATTATCATCGTGACTTGATTCGTCATAATTATCGTCAGATTCATCATTTTCATTCTTATTATCATCCAAATTTGCCACAAATTCGTGAACATCATTGACTTGATTTTCACATTCCTTGATTTCATCTTGAATTCGATCAATCAAATCGTCATTTTCCTCATATGTTTTGTGTGTTTCCTCGATTTGTTCTTCATCGTCAAGTGATTTGACATCTTCCTTGTGTTTTTGTATATCTTCTTCAATTTCTTGAATCTTTTCATTTAAAACTTCACCATTCTGATATTTTTCATTTGGATTGGGATCTTCATCGGAATTATCATCATCATTTCTCTGTCTCAATCGTTCATAAATACTTGCAACACTCCTGTCTTCTGTCTGTTGTTCAACATTTTTGGTGTGCTCATCATCATAGTTTTCAATAAATTCTTCCGCTTCTTCAAGTAAAGCATCAGATTCATCGTGATCAATCTTTTCATTACGAAGATTCTCATCGCTTCGTTTGTATTCATTTTTACATGGAATATATGTATCATCCCACAGTTCATCTGGGTCCACTCCTGTGAGCAAATCACCATCCAATATGATTTCACCAATCTTCCAATGATAAGTACGTAAATCACGAATTCGTTGTCACAATAAATAGTTTTCATTCGAAATTCCGCATGATTGTAAATGCGTAGAATTTTGTCAATTTCGTCCGATCTTTCAGTTCAGCACTGAATCGTAATTTGATCGCTTTGTCAATACTGACAAAAAACGCAACATTGTTGATAAACATAGTGCCGATGCATAAATCCAGGTTCAAATTGTGTTTCAGTAGTTCCTTGGGCATTTCGATCCAATCATCAACCACCGCCTTTGGTGTTGGTTGCTTTTGTTTGCCCTTAATTGTTGAAACGCTCGGTCCATATATCTTTTTCAGAGATATTAACATCTTCCTGCTGCACGAGGTGCTCCCATCATATGATAGCCACTTTGTGAAACCCTCTTTGTTCTTCTCCACACTCTGTAGAGCACAGTGCCCTTGCACATCAATATTATCAAGTCCACATGCATGGTCATGAAACATTGTTGTTACCATAGCAGGTTCGTCAACCAAAGTATATAATCCATTGCGATGTCCAAATCGCCATGTAGTCCCGTTTCTGGTCACAAAGAAGCTGTTCTCTCTCTCTTTGTGTCCATAGATACATCAAATCCATCTTGTACCATATTTGACAAACTGTTGACGTTGTTGCTAGCTCTTGTGTCAAGCTTAGAAACAGAATCAAATACCTTACCAATTCCTTCTCAATAAAGTTCTCTTCCCTCGACATGAAGGGCATAATGGAATCCTCCATGAATTCCTTGTAGACTTCCTTCTTTAAAGTCATCTTCATTGGTTCGCAATTGAAAAGTAGATCCACTATCCAAGTGGATACCAGTATTGTTGTGTTGAAATAACATCATCCCTTGTTGTCTTGGATGATTGTCAGTATGTCCTAATTGAATAAATTGTCCTCCATGGGATCCACTGTTAGAACGTCCATAGTTCCATTGAGTGTTTGCATCTCCCAATTCATTATCATCACAAATTGCATTTTCATCACGTTGCATATTCTGTCAATTACCATGACCATTTGCGTCCTTATGTTGGGATCGTTCAGCATCGCTTCCCAATAAATCATATTCCTGACTCTTCTCAGTAAATTTGTCCAAAAAATCATCACGCTTGTAATGCCTTCGCCCTTTCTTCAAATCGTTTACAAAAACTCGCAATGTTTTCCTTCTCCTTTTGATGGCAATTAATCAGATTGCTCATTGTCTTCCACAGACCAAAATATTCCCATTCTGTATCAACAGTAGTCGTCATAAATTTCTTGATCCGCATCAATAGCTCCACAGGATCATTGAACAGTTTGTTTTCAAAGTCAGCTTCTTGCTCAAGTTTGTCCACCATATGATCGGTGCACATCTTCATAATCATTCCATAGACATTGGGTTTGTTGTTATCAAACGCATTCTTCCTGGCCTTCCAATCCTTTTGATCAGCCAAATAGTTAGTTCTTCTTTCTTCATTCTTGATCCCCTTATCAGGATCGCTGTCATTAGTCACCAATACCAATGTTGGTTTCACACTTTCAATATAAAACAGACTCAAGGTTTGTACACTCTGGATCATGTCATCAATATGATCCATCTTCATCATTGACATTTTAATCACCAATGTCTTCTTCACTTCATCAAAGCTAAATTTGGGAATGTTTCCTCTAGTCAGAGGATGAAACTTCTTCTCTTTCTGGCTACCATTGCCACTCTTATTTCCATTGTATTGACCATTACCTCGGCCTTGCTGCGATCTTCCTCGTCCAGCATTTCTTCCATTGGATCCACGTCCAGTATTCTGAAATTGTCCACTCATCATGAGCAAGTTCCTATTCTTTTAAGTCGTAGGAATATATTGACTCCCAATTCAATTCAGTGACTTTTTATAATATATGTTAGAAGTAAGCGATCCAGTGCCGCCTGCAATCTACCTGTTTCAATTGACTGCGATTTAGCTGTCCAGGTATTGTTGCCTTCTAAGTATATGAATTTACAGTATATAGAAGTATATAGATCAATCAGAGATCCTACTTTATCAACCAATTCACTTGTTGCTTGCAATATATTATAAAAAGTGAGAACAGTCTGTCAACTTTTGACTTTGACTCTTTCTTCTCCAGCTCAGTGGAAATTCTCAGAATTCTCTACGTCAGCCTGACATGCTGCAAGTTCAATTTGCTTATCCGTTCATCTTCCACTGTAGTAGGTACTTTGATTAGTATCCAACTTTGGTTCTTGCTTGAATCTTGCTTTCTTACATCATCAACAGGATGATTTCCATAGAAATAAATTGTCTTTTCTGACTTGCCACGCGCGACATTTTTTGTCGTATCAGTCTTCATTTTTAGTTGTCTGTTAGAATAAAGCAAAATGTGCTCTATCGTGAGTGCCTTTAGCGCTCAGAACAAACTCTCTGCAATCTAAATTTGTAATTGATTGTACAACACTTTCACAACAATAGTTCTAGGTATACTTTTGAGTGAAATTGTTCCTATTTGATTAATATTTGGCTTGAATTGATGATTCAATCACAAAAGTAAGTTCAACGATTTTCCCTTGGAAAATCCCTTGTTTACAGAACTTGATTCGACCTCTACGACAATTCTGTGTTGAATGCAGTACTTTGGGACATCTTGTATCCCCTACTGCACCGTACACAACACCGATTTCTCACTTGTATAGGGTCATTTCCTTTTTGTGTGGATGTAAATTGTCTGACAGACTTGCGTCCGGCATACTTGCATCGAATCCTGACATCACGATCAAAGTCCGATCGTACGTGTCAAAAACTTTGTACTTGAATAGTTTCTTTTTGAAACGTAAAAACTCATATTTCGTCACATCCCAACACACTCCTGCCATTGTGACAATCACCGGACAAGAGATCGAGTTCAGAGCCTTGACAATAATTGACCTAGTGACCAACTTGGTCAAAATTGTGCGCATTAAGGACAAAACGTGTGCAAACGTAATGCCGGCTCGCCCGTTACCCATGCCCTGCAACCGTCATCCATGACCAAGGAACCGAATTCACGGGATCGGACTTTCAAAATCATTTGAATCTACACAGAATTGAACCTCGTTCTATGTCTGCCAAGAATCCTCAAGCAAATGCAGTTTGCAAACCGATGCATCAAACTATTGGCAACTCTCTTAGAGTATTGGTTACACTGAATCACCCTTTCAACATCAATGTTGCCAAACAATTAGTTGACTTTGCCATTGCAAATGCAGTGTATGCACACCGCTGCTCTTATCACGGAACTATAGCCGCTACGCCCGGATCACTTGCCTTCCACCGTGACATGATCCTAGATCTTCCAATGCAAGCTGACCTTCAGCTCATTCAACAACATCGACAACAGCTCATTGACAAAGAATTGATACGAGCCAATTGTCGCCGATTTGCTTATGAATATCAACCCGGCCAGGAAGTTCTAAAGCTTCGCTATAAGCCAAACAAGCTCAACCCTTGAGCCGATGGACCATATCGTATTGAACAAGTCCATTCTAATTGTACCCTTACCATTTGACTTGCTCCTCATGTTATTGAACGCGTCTCCTTACGACAAGTCAAACCTTACCGACGATGAAGTGGTTTCATCCTACTTGCAAGGTTCCCTTCTATCTCCCGCGTCGGGTCCTCTGGAATCTAGAGGATTACCTTGGGTGGCAGAATGTCGTGGCTCACATTGGTCCACTAGTCCAACTGGTCAAATCATATCAGTCAAATTAACATCGATTACTCTGATATGAGTACTTCTACAAACGCCCCCTTACTCAGCATGTCCACAGTAGTCTTGTAAAATGCAATCTTGCCAAATGTCTAGTACATCTATTACCTATGCTACGAGCCGACAGTGATGTGGCAATGAGGTGGCAACAGCCTGACGAATACATTCTTATCAAGACTGCAGTGGAAGTTGTGTGTATCCAGTACACACCTTCTCTTCTGATGTCAGTATGGCTATTGCGTTCTGCCCAGGGAAGCAGTTCTCCATTAAGCTCATAATATCTCTTTAGCAATCTTTTGATCGCTACTGTGCCTAAGTTAGTCCTCAGCCTTTTGTGGGACACGGCATTTTTGATCAAAAAGTCCGATTCAATTTCAAGCACAACATCATGTCCGACTATCACGTCTTCCCTATGCAATACGAACCCATCGAAGGAGAAAACCTCAGAGTCAAGGTGGATATCGACCATTCAACCTTTTCCGTCTACCTCAAGAAGTTGGACATCACCCAGATGTCCTTACACAAGTGTGTGGACTTTGCAAAGACTCTCCTCGACGATGTGACTCTCAAAGTTGGCCAGAACAATGACGAGCTCCTCGGTAGAGCCCTCAACAAGTTTTGGTCAAAGGCTCTCCCTTCTCTCGAACGACAAGTTTGGGAAGCGCTCCCAAACTACATGGACATGGATGAGGAATCCGTTGAGAACTGGAAAAACAAAGTCCGCAACTGGATCCTGACCAAATGTACTGAAGAAGACGCGGCTGTACCTGGAGAAAGCCAAGATCGGCGACAATCATGAACAATCAGATGTACATGAAGGAGGTAAACTCTGCAATCCCTTACATGTCTGAAGCTCTTGACCCTCTTGACAAAGAAGAATTCAAGAGAGTTTTCTTCAATGCTCACCCCAAGCCTTGGAAGGACGCCTTCCTGGAGATCAACGGTACCCTCAACAACCATTCCGTTGCCAGCATCACTTCCTACATGCAACGCAAGGCTCGACAAGCACACGACAAGGAATTGAAGAATCAACTCCACCAGAAGATCGAATCCAAAAAGAAGAAGCGCACGGCTGGTGTCCATCACAGGGACGATTTGAAACCTTTCAAGAAATCTCATACCGACCCAGAGGAAAACAAGATGGACAAAGACGAGTACCACAAGCGCGTGGCGGAACTTGCAAAGACAGCCAAGCCGACCAAAATTTGCTCGCTCAAGCCCAATCATAAGAATCACCTTATCTCCAAGTGCAAGGCAATCAACAACTACAAGGCCCGAATGAGCAACAAGAAGTCCAACAGCTTTGCTGTCATCAATCTCCCTGGAGATAAGCCGGATGATGATTTGACCACCTCTAAAGAGACCAACTCATCCAACAAGAATGGTGCGTTCTACATGAACAATGAATCTTACTATGTCCCAACTTTCTCTCACCACATTGATTTCTGTCGCTTCGACAGCCTGAACAACATCGTTGATTCAAACGTTCTAGACAATCTTAGGTTATCATATATGTCAAACGTAAAAGATGCCTACAAAAACGGTGCAGAAGTCCCCGAGACTATCAGTGAGAAAGTAGACATTGGTAAAAAATTAAAGTTATTGCTTAGACCAGAATCTGTTTCTGTTATAAAGATGATGCAAAAAACTTGTGTCAACAAACTTGCACGTGTGTTGTTTGATCCTGGATCAGATGAATCTTACATCCATCGTAGAAATTTGCCCACTGGAATCAATGGAAAAACCGTGAAGAAAAAAATTGGAACAATAAGCGGCAAACAATCTTTGACCACGCAAGTCATAAACATTGAGGGAATCGTTTTCCCTGAATTTTCTCCCACGCAAAAAGTGGAATCCACATTTGAAACAATTGTTTTTGATTCAGACGCGAGGTACGATATGATTATTGGAAATAATATTTTACTTCCCCTTGGAATCGATTGTTGCGGATCTACCAAAACAATCAAATGGATGAACAAACACGTTCCTTATAAGCCGCCCGAATCTGGCCTCAGTCCTCAAACTACTGATCCAAACGAAGATACATCCATGTTGATGGCGCAATTGATGGCAACCCATTGCTATCACTCAGACCCTGATGAAAGTCTCAATGAACACATTGAGCAACAGATATCTCATTCCTTTAATATTGCAGAATCCAAATATGATTTAGTTCCCTTGGAACATGTTGCCAAACAACAACAACATCTAAATGGTAAACAACAAAACAATCTTTACAATGTTATAAAAGACTTTGAACCCTTGTTCAATGGTAACCTCGTTCGTTCCGGCAAGCTTGGCCCTTTCAAAGGTCCTAAAGCACACCTCAAGCTTACTCCCGAAGCAAAACCATTTCAGAACCGTCCCTATTCTGTCCCCAAGAGTCATGAAGCTGTCTTCAAGAAAACTATTGATGAAATGGTCCAATGGGGTTTTTAGGAGAAATGCGGCCCAATGGACTACTTATCTCCCACCTTTATTGTTCCGAAAAAGGATGGTAGAGTTAGATTTGTTTCTGACTTTCGGCAACTGAACAAGATGATTAAACGCAAGGTTTGGCTACTGCCAAGAACACAAGATATTATAAAGAAACGAAATGGCTACAAGTACCACAAGCGCGTGGCGGAACTTGCAAAGACAGCCAAGCCGACCAAAATTTGCTCGCTCAAGCCCAATCATAAGAATCACCTTATCTCCAAGTGCAAGGCAATCAACAACTACAAGGCCCGAATGAGCAACAAGAAGTCCAACAGCTTTGCTGTCATCAATCTCCCTGGAGATAAGCCGGATGATGATTTGACCACCTCTAAAGAGACCAACTCATCCAACAAGAATGGTGCGTTCTACATGAACAATGAATCTTACTATGTCCCAACTTTCTCTCACCACATTGATTTCTGTCGCTTCGACAGCCTGAACAACATCGTTGATTCAAACGTTCTAGACAATCTTAGGTTATCATATATGTCAAACGTAAAAGATGCCTACAAAAACGGTGCAGAAGTCCCCGAGACTATCAGTGAGAAAGTAGACATTGGTAAAAAATTAAAGTTATTGCTTAGACCAGAATCTGTTTCTGTTATAAAGATGATGCAAAAAACTTGTGTCAACAAACTTGCACGTGTGTTGTTTGATCCTGGATCAGATGAATCTTACATCCATCGTAGAAATTTGCCCACTGGAATCAATGGAAAAACCGTGAAGAAAAAAATTGGAACAATAAGCGGCAAACAATCTTTGACCACGCAAGTCATAAACATTGAGGGAATCGTTTTCCCTGAATTTTCTCCCACGCAAAAAGTGGAATCCACATTTGAAACAATTGTTTTTGATTCAGACACGAGGTACGATATGATTATTGGAAATAATATTTTACTTCCCCTTGGAATCGATTGTTGCGGATCTACTAAAACAATCAAATGGATGGACAAACACGTTCCTTATAAGCCGCCCGAATCTGGCCTCAGTCCTCAAACTACTGATCCAAACGAAGATACATCCATGTTGATGGCGCAATTGATGGCAATCCATTGCTATCACTCAGACCCTGATGAAAGTCTCAATGAACACATTGAGCAACAGATATCTCATTCCTTTAATATTGCAGAATCCAAATATGATTTAGTTCCCTTGGAACATGTTGCCAAACAACAA